TGAAAATTATTATCAATCAAAAATAGGAATGAAATCAATCACTGTTGTCTTCTATAAATCATCTTACATATTTTCATAGAGTTTATAGATTTTATACTTTTATACATTTTGGAATTGTTTAATAAAATGATAATAGAAATTATTACGAACGAAAAAGGCATAGAGGGTATTCTTTGAATATCTCTTTGCTATAGATATTGATCATGCTGCATTTGTCAAATGTATGTTTTTTTCTAATCTGAATAAAAAATATAAGGCTTAAAATAATGATTTCTCAATAACCCCGCAAATAAAATGCAAAATTACAGGCATATTAATAAGTAATATATATTATTATATTATTGATAAATATTTCTCGTGTGTACCTTTACAATTTACATTTTTTAGCTCTATAATAATCAGCATCATATGACTCTATAAAATATTAGAAAATTTAAATTAAATTTATAGACTAGAAAATAATACATTTTTTTCCTATATTTAATAGTACAACCAAGCCAGTGATTTAATACCAAGTATTAAATACCTAATTATTTTTTATACTTAATTCTTATTCGTGTATAAAATATATATGTATAACTTTCCAATATTTTAAATAAAAATAAATAAATAAAGTAATAATGTGTGTAGTACAATGGTTGAACTACTATGAACAAATAATTCTTACTTAGCAAAATGGCAATTCTGATAGTTTTATGACGTATTCGAGATGTATTGGACAGATTTCATAGCACATTTAAAAACAGTTTTAATAACACTAATAAAATCAAAACTTACCTTTAAGCCATTATTCGTTTTTATAGCAATAATGAGCATGAATCTTGACAATTCAAATAGGAAAAAATCTTTTTCTTACTCAATTAAAACATATTCAGTCATCTAAGTAGTTCAGATAAGTCAGATGTGTTTGTCAAAGAAATTCCCAATCATTTTCTTTAGTATTAAGAGATTCATAAGGCTCACTTTTTTCGAGATCATTTATATTATTATTAGATGATATATGAATGTTTTCCAAATTCCAACCACCAGGAATATCTATCACATTTGGAATTTTAATGTAACTTTCATCATCAACTCGATTTATATGATCAGTCTCTTCGTTTGGAGTTTTTCCACTGATTATTGTTTCATCAGCCTTAAAATTAATATCATTTGTCTTAGATTGCTTAGGGGAATCTATCATACTATCATCAGTGCTGTGTAAATGATGTCCATTAAATATTTCCTCTGTGGAACTTTTACAATTTTCTAAAGGATCTAATTTAGTACGGGGTAGTTGCAATACTTTTTGAAAATCTTCTAAAAATTTCTTATCGCTATCTTCATTACCAGTGTTTTGTTTTTGGGGAATAGTTATTTTTTCTAAATTCAATAACTCTGCTAACTTATTTTCTTTATATTTGATATCTTCTAAAATTGATGTTGGACTTCTTAGATCTGGTATTGTATAACTAAAATGTAAGATTCAAATATGAAATTTAATGCAAATTATGTAATTAATTTGTGAAAATAGGTGTATACTAACTTCTTTTTCAAATTTAAAGGAGCAAGTTCATTGGAGCAACAATTACTTTCTGATTTTGACATATTGTTAGAGGCAAGGGAAGTTTTTACATCAGCAGAATTTTCCACTTCAGACTGTATGATTTTTCTTTTCTTTCTTATTTCAGACTTATATAATATATTCTCATCATAGTCCAAATTATTTATTTTGTCGAATGTGCAAAGTTTAGTATAATGCAATGAATTTTGAGAAAAGTGGTCTTGGCTATTCTCTTTCACTTCTAATAGGGGCAACTCATCAAACGACAGTTTTTCTATTGGTGGTAATTCAATGCATTCTTCTGCTTTCACTACTTCTTCACTATCAATGGCATTATCTTCTAAATGCTTACTAAATGTTTTGAGTTTAGAATTTAATTTTGATAAAATTGTACTTGGGGTTAAAATAGACGCAATGTTATTATCTGAAAGTAGTCCATTCACATTCAAAACAGATGTGATCATAGAATGGTTGTATAATCACATAAGATATGGTCACATAAAAAAATATATGATATAATAGAAAAAAAATTCAAATCTGTGAAAAACACTCAGCAATTATGTATAGCTAAAATTTGTAACTCACCTGCTCTGACTATATTATCATCAGGAGCTGTAGAAATCCTGATAAGGCTTCTAGGCCCTTCAAGAATAAATATCTCATGATCGATTATGGACACAGAAAGTATACTATAAAAGATTAAATTTATAATTATATATATATATATATATATATATATATATATATATATATAAGACAACTTACTCTCTAAACTCTGTCAAGACGGCCAAAACTTCAGGTCCATTGGGATCTAATAAATACATCACTTGCTGATTATAAGTCAGCAGATAAGGACCATAAGGTTTAATTATTCCAAAATTTGGTAGTTCTGGCTGAAGAGCAAGACAATCTTTGCCACTTTTTGGTTTTGGATTCAACAAAGGAACAGTAAATTTTGGTTTCCTTAATTTATCCTACCAAAGAAAGCAAAAATTAACTTATTTGCATAATAACATAATAATCAAGAGTAGTTATTGATGTACTTTAAATAAAATTGTTTTATCGACACTGCCATCCAGTTTTGCTACCCATAATCTATGGCCAAGTCTGCAATTATATATTCTTGTCCGTTCTTTTAAATTAGATGATGGAATGAAAGTAGCACCCAATTTCGATAAACTGCAAATGATAATTATAACAAATTATTAAAACAATACAATTTACTATATCATTCAAAATATTACCATTTCCTATCCTGCCTTCCAATTTGTAGAACTTCCCATTTTAAAGTTTTTTGCTCAGTTATTATAGTTCGAAATGAAGTAGAAATTATAAGTTTTGGATTATTAAAACATAATTGAACGATTTCATAAGATTCATTAACTAGTTCTACAGATTTGCATATATGCTAAAAATTAAGCAATATTATGGATTGTTTTTATAATTAATTTATTTACATTCAGAATTATCATAATACCATATAAAAATCTATTTCTGTTAAAACTACACAGCCAGATTTATCTCCTGAGAATAATTTCATTCCATTTTTAGACCATTCTAAAGCAGTTATTGAAGATGTATGTAGATCTCTTATACAATACCTTAAAAAAGAAATTTAATGCATATACATGTCTCTGTTTAATTTTAGCAATTTAAATAATATACCTTTCAGGAGGGTTGGCTTTGAATTCATTTCGTACCAAGTCAGCAGGTATTTCTTTAGGAATAGAAAAAACACTAATAAGGCCATTATCAGCACCACATGCCACCATATATTCAACACTAGAGACAACTTTAATCTCAGTTATACGATTTGTGGGTTCCTGAAAAGAAATAATAAAGATTATATGAATAGGAATAAAAAATAGTTTGTTTTGTCTGTCTTAAAATCTGATTAGATATTGAAAGTTTGATTATTTTACCTCGCACTTTAATCTAATAAAATCTCCTTTTTTCCTATCATACCAGATTGCAAATCCTGCATTCGTTCCTATTGCTATATATTCTGTTATTGCATCAATGCATGTTAAACACACATCAGTAATGAACATGCCACGAAGCCATCGTAAAGGAATTTTACTAATAATATCATTCACAGGAGCCCATTCTCTCAGAAGAGATGCATCCATAATAGATAAGTTTTTTATATGCTCAAGTAGTTATAAAAGATTATTGTACAGAAGTTTTATTTTTTTAAAAACACTATTGAATCATGTCGATTCATCAAGTAAAGTACAGCAATGAATGGTGAGACTCTTTGTAATATTTTTGGAGCGGATGATGGAGATGGCATGTTTAAGTAGAACAGTATTTTTGTTCAAATTTCCTACAACAAAAAGAGAAAAAGAAATTAAAAACATGTTTTAGTCCAGATTTATCAATAAACACAAAAATACAGGGCAAAAATAAAGAATTGTATAATCTTACAGAAAGTACTGTAGAAAATATCCTTTTTGCCACATCTCATTTTAGGAATAATAAATTGATATTCTTATCAATAGGAAATTTAAAACAAAGTTTAAAGAAGGGCTCTATGTATAATTGTGCTTGTAAAGGTAATTCCTTAAGCAGAATGATATTAAATTCAATATCAAATATAGAAATTTAAGATTAACAACATTTTGAAACTTACTAACTAAATAACCCAACTATATTTTATTTTTTGATTAACAAACTGTCATCGAAAGCATGCTGATTATATTTATTTAACGTTTAAGTTTTAATATATATTTTGTGATAGAATAATAAGCATCTCACAAAATTCATAGATTTCAACAACTGAAAAACGTTTATATAATTTTTGATTTTTCAATTTTCTAGAAAGATCAACTTAAACAAATGTTATTTGTAATATTTTTGGAGTGGTTGATGGAGATGGCATGTTTAAGTAGAACAGTTTTTCCTTAGAACCTTTTATTCAAATTTCCTACGACAAAAAGAGAATGAAATTAAAAATATGTTTATCAGTAATGGAATAACACAAAAATACAGGGCAAAAACAAAGAATTGTGCAATCTTATGAAAAGTGCTGTAGAAAATATCCTTTTTGCTACATCTCATTTTAGAAATAATAAATTGATATAGTGAAAAATATTCATCACTAAGAAGTTTAAATAAAAAGAAGAACTCTATGTCTGTTTGTAAAGATAATTCCTCAAACTAAATAAAATTAAATTCAATATCAAATATATAAGCTTAATATTAACAATATTTTAAAACTTACTAGCTAAATAACCCAACTATATTTTATTTTTTAATTAACAAACTGTCATCGATTAGTATGGTGATATTTATTTAACATTTAAGTTTTAATATATTTTTCTTTTAGAATAATAAGCAACTCACAAAATTCATAGATTTCAATAACTGAAAAACGTTTAAATAATTTTTAATTTTTGATTATCTAGAATGCTTAACTTAAACAAATTTTATTTACATTAAGTTTTCATTTGACGTTTGACGTTTACAGCAAACGCGTGCTTCGGCGCAAAACACAATTACTTAAAATCTGTAACTAAAATCTTTTTCCTATTATATCTTTTTATTATTATTTGCAAGTGCATTTGATTAAAATATAATTTGTAAGTTTATCTTCGTATTAAAATGGATTCAAGAAGAAAAAGAAGACATGAACATGATGATAGACGAAAACCTAGTAGGCATCATCGTAGAAAATACGACGATGACGACAGGTTAGTAATTTATTTAATAGTAATTTTAAATTGCTTGCTTTTTAATTTATAGTTCAAAATATATAAATGGTTTATAAAAGTTTGCATAAGGTTACTATTAGCATAACCAATCTGCTAATGAAAGACCTAGTGATGAGCACTAGCTTTTTAATATGTAGCCAAGCAATTCTTTAATTTCTTTCATTTCCCTAGGAGAGATTCACATAAGGAATATTCATGGGGAAAAAAAGAGAAGGATGAAATCAAAACAGAACCTAAAGAAGTAAAAAAAGAACAACCTAATTTTGGTCTTTCTGGCAAACTAACTGAAGATGTAAACACATTTAACGGAGTTGTAATAAAGTATGCTGAGCCTCCAGAAGCCAGAAAACCTAAAAGGCGTTGGCGCTTTTACCCCTTCAAAGGAGAAACAGCAATGCCTACTTTGTACATACACAGACAAAGTTGTTACCTCATTGGTCGTGATCGTAAAGTAGTTGATTTGCCAGTAGATCATCCTTCTTGTTCCAAACAACATGCAGCTCTTCAATATAGATTAGTTACATTTCAAAGGGATGATGGATCTACTGGAAAACGAATAAGGCCTTATTTAATAGACTTAGAATCTGCCAATGGCACATATGTTAACAATAATAAAATTGAACCTAAAAAATATGTGGAGCTTTTAGAGAAGGATGTTATAAAATTTGGATATAGTTCTAGGGAATATGTTTTATTACATGAAAACAGCAAAGACGAAACACAAGATGATGACATTGCCAGTGGAGATGATTTGCCAGTGAAGATAAAAAAAGAAGATGAATAAAATTTTAGTTTAGATTGTATATTAAGTACTTATACTTATATGAACAATAAATATAGATAAAATAATACTATTCTATCATTACTCACATCACATATGAGGAAACACAATTGGAATGTTTTAATTAGTTTTAAAACAATCCTCTTCTACCAAAAGATTTATTTAAATCTTTATGTATCAACTGTTAAAATACATGGGAAGAATTTACATGTACTTTAATTAATAGATTAATATATTTGATTACCATAGAACAATGATTGAAAATGAAGTTAATGCTATAAAAGATGTATAAAATATTTTATGGTTTAACAATTAAATTTCATTTTTTTAAAGAATCTGATCATTGGTAATTAATAGTAAAATAATGGCAATCTAAAAATTAATATATATAAAATATAATAATATATAAATTAATTCAAATATTAAAATATAATATAATTAATATATTATTTTCTAGGTTGGCCACACTTTGATAACAAGTGTGAAGTTCTCAAAAAGAAAGATAAAACTTCAAATAAGAAAAATTTACGTTGTGTGCGTTGTGTGTTTGCAATTTTAACGCAAATATTTAGTTTTAAAAAAATATGACGAATATAAACCTTAAAAGTCTTTATTATGTTGAACACAAAAGCATCAAATATTACAGTGGATTACGAAATCAAAGAAAAGATAAAAAAAGTAGAATCATTAAAAATCGCTATAGCCGAACAGAAATCTGCCAATGATATTAAATTTATAGAATATTCTACTTTGCAAGATTTAATATCAGAAGAAACCAAAGTTTTAAATGAAGGAACTAAATATGTTACACATAATCGTGAATTAATTCGAAATAACCGCAAGTTTCATTGTGACAATGTCAGAAATTTTTGCAGAGACTATGGAGTTAGTAGATGTGTTTCAATAATTGAGGATTTTTGCAAAAAGTCTTCGCATAAACCTGGTAATGAAGAAGTATTTATTGTAAATGAAGTTAAAGCTGTACAATTAGCTATTTCTGAAAATGAAACACTCAAGAAACTTTTAGAAGATACATTGTCAGAAATAAATAATTGTGAGACTAAAATCAAAGAACTTCATGATAAAAATGAGAAGTTGGAAGAAGAGTACAATGAAGGATCAGAAATATTAAGGTAAGCGTCATTTGTACATATATATATATATATATATATATATATATATATATATATAAGTATTAGAAATAAGTTTTACATATTTTATAAAAAGAATTATGTCATTGGAGTCTAATCTTCACAATTGAGGCAATCATTTTTCTATAAACTGAGCAATCCATCTTATTACCAAATATATTTTCCTTCTAAAGCAAATTTATTTAATTTAAAAATCCTAGTACTTTCAATTTAAAAACTAAAATATTAAATGTGATATTAAATACTACAGCAATATGAACTTCTAATATAGCTTGAGATATTTTCGTTTAAAAATATATTGTTTTCTACAACTCTGTTTTAATGATTTTATATCACTTATCAAGTCATTTGTACTAAATTAGACTGAAAGCAGCTATAGCATTATCAAGACAACAGAAAAGAGAACTAGAAATGGAATATTCTAAACTGGAAAACAGTTGTGAGGTAAAAGATATAATGGACACAGAGAAAAAACAAATAGAAGAAGAACCTAAACCGAACAAATTACAAATTGCAGTGAAAAAATCAGAAATAGCTCAAGACGTGAAAAAGAGAATTTCACACAATACTTCCAATTCTTTCAAGAGAGTCAGTGATATTTCCATTGATGACATCATAGACGTTCCAAAAATTATGTCAAATTTAAATACACCTGATCATGTGTTACCGAAATCTTCAACAGCTCGCAAATATAAACCACAACATTTTAAAATAATGGATAATAATCCCCAACCCGAATTTCAACAACAGGATGATGATAAACGTGAAACAATACTTTCTAAACTTAATTTAAGAACAACTTATCGAAATCTGCATAAATACTGTTATCGTAAACCCAAATAATAATATATAGAGGGTATGTGAATTTTCATTCAATATATTTTATAACAAACATACACAAAAATAATATAATAAATATATAAATAAATTGTGGCCTAAGAATTTTAGTAACTGTGTTATTTGGCATTTACAACTTGAACACAAGGCTCTAGGATGCACAATTTACAATAAAAGAATGCTAATATGTTGTTGTCACAAGTTGTAATAAACAAGTTTGAAAGACTAATAATATATCTCACCAAGTTATGAAAAATATGGGTAGATTTAAATGAAGATGCAAAAATTCAATAACAGAGAGCTTACTTTATTACTTAAGGAATTATCAGTAACAAGGTAATTAGATAGAATATGAGCCATATGAGCAAATTTTATTGCAAACAGTGGGAGCCCTATTTAAGAAAACTTTATAATACTTTTGTATTTATGAATCATCAAATGTCATTCTTGATACACCATGATTTTTCATGTATCTTCGATATGCTTTTGCTCTTGCATTTTCTGCTAAGTTCTTTTTCATTTCTTCTTCTTGTATTTTTTTCCAAGCAATAAATTTATCTTTTATCCATAACTCCTCTTCTAAATATTCTTCTTTAGTATGTTCTTCAATGGCATTAAATTGATGTTCTCCTAATTTTAAATTTTTACGTATTAAATATAATTTTTCTTCAGTTCCATAAGGTCTTTTTAAGATATCGAATTTCCAAATCCAGGATGTATACCAGATAATATATTTTGTGATTGTGTATGGTGATATTATTAGTTGAACCCAGAGAATATTCCAAAGGTCAGGTTTTGCATAAGCACCTTTAATATCCATATTATCTTCAATAACCATTCTTATTAACTTCTCTAGCTCTTCTTTTTGTTCTTGTTTATTTTTAGTCTTTTTCTTTCCTGCAGCATCGTTGTTTACCTTGGCTAGTTCTAAGGCTTTATGTCTATATTTAGGAACAGTCATAAAGTAACTTATAGCTGTCTCGTATCTTTGCCAAGCTCCATAATATTGAATAACAGAAATAATAGTTATAGTGACTGCTAAAACGATTCGTATATCTACTTTGGGTGCTACACGCCTTCTATAGTATCGATAGTAATGGGCATAATATTCAGAAGGATTGTCTAACATATAATCATAATCACTTCTAGCTTCTTCATCTTTTAAAATTTCATAGGCTGTAGCTATGGCTTTAAACTTTTCTGTAGCTTCTGCTTTTTTGTCTTCACCTTTTTGTAAATCTGGATGGAATTTTCTAGCTAATTGCCTGTAACTTTTTGAAATTTCTGACTTAGTAGATGACCTAGTAACTCCGAGAATCTCGTAACAATTATCTTTACCGCAATATAAGCCTTCTAACAAATGTGCGCTTGTTTGGTCTAAAACTAATACTATAAAAACTAAATAAAACTTGTTGATGATCATTTTAAAAAGTGTACTACAAATTATTTATAAGAATCTCATTTATTTAAAATTTGTGATGTGTATATTGCAAAAACTATAACACGTCAAACACATGTCGGTGAAATTCTAACCTACATAAGTACCTACGTGACAGTAGTATTGCCATCCATTAGAATTTCTTTTACTAGACTAAGGCGGAAAAATTCAAAACCGTTGGATTTCAAAAAGAAACTAGTGGGGTGTATAGCATCGTGCCTTAAGGCAAATTGCTGGAACTTCCCGTATCGTAATTGGAAATCTTGGTACGTAACCCAAAAAAATACACAAAATGTGTACACATTATTAAAATCTCTATAGAATATCTGATAAATTGATGTACATATGTCCAATAAACATTTTTGACCGCCAAATGACATTTTTTTAACTTATTTTTATTGAGAATCCATAAACGCTAAACCTGCATTCCCAAAAATGTATTCAGTTCTTCATCTTGTCAATACAAGTAAAATGTTTTTTGAATTGTTAAAATCGGACTCCCCGTTCTCTTAAAAACTGAGTTACCGTTTTTGGCACTTTTTGCCCCGTATCTTCGGAACGGCTAGACCTGCTTACGCCAAAAACTAACCAGCACATCTCCTTATCAATACGAATCGAATGTTTTTTGAATTATTCAAATCGGTAGATCGATGTTCCCGAAATCGTCGACGAAAATTTGTATCCGCACACACACACATACACACTTATACATCCATTTTTTATAAGGTATGCCAAAATGTTCAAAAACCTTTGAAACGTAAAGATATATAAAAATTATCATTTTTAATTTTTTTGCGATTACTATAACTTACCCCACGGGAAGTTAAATATAGATTGTAATATAAATTAGCACACCCACATTGGAATAAGCAAATCATAAACCAATCATATTTGATGATTTGCTTTTTATACTTTTTGTATTATTGTATTGTATTCAATATGATACCTGTAATTAAATATAATTATAAACTTCACAAATCTCATTTTCTTTTTTAATTTGTTGTAAAAAAAATAGTAATTTGTTGTAAAAAAAATAGTTGTTGATGATATTCATTAAACATTGTGTGATCATAGGTTTCGTGGTCTTAACTTAAGTGGTTGAATTATAAACATTTAACAGTGTTTGAAAAAGTGGTTTGAGTCAAATTTTGAAAACTCTAACATCACTAAATTAAATTAAATTAAAAATTTATAAATATCAATTCTTGTTGGTAAAGTCAATTATTTACACAAATTGGGAAGATTTTACAAATTGCCTTACGGCAAAATGCCACTGATCCCTAGTTTTTAAGCTTTATAGAGAAAAATTTATTTTATTGTATATATTTCAATATAATTAATAATTATAATAAATCTTGTCAGATGAGAATTAATAAATCATTATTTTATGAATGAACAATGAAATGTCTTGAAATTAAAAAAAAAAGATTTCTGAGGGAAAACATTTGAGTATGAATTAAAATATTTAACAGAAATTAGTCTGATAAAGGAACATCAAATATACATTTATGATAAAGATAAAACATATAATATATAAATAATATTTCAGATGGTGAAAGATATTTGCAAACAAAAAGGTTTTTTTATACAACATACATCTAGTTCTGAAAGAGAAAAACTAAATTAGGTTATTAAAAAATGCATTACGTCTTCCATTTGTTTAGATTCCAAATTTTTATAAAAAAAATTAATACGTTTCGATTCCCAATTTGACTCTTCTTCTTCAGTGTATAAAAACACATTTTAAAAAACATGCGAACCTCACAATGAAGAAAAGTATGGTATAACCGTCATATTAATAAAAAAAAAATCAATATAAAAAATTAAATTAGAATTAACCAACTACTACTAATTAATTTATGAATATGAACCAACAACCATGTTAAGTTGTTTGAAACTAATGAAAGTTGAAAGAAAACTGTTGAAAGACTGAAAGACAGTTTTTTTTTTGAATATTTTAATTTTAAGAACTGTATTGACGTCTTTATAAAAACTTTTTTGTTTATTTTTATACATATATATGTATCTATATCCTATAAAATTTCTATTTAATGTTTATTTGAAAATATATAAAAGTGCGCAAAAAACTCTCCTATATAAACTACCCTTTCCTTTACTCCGCGCCATGCAGAAGTGATTGCCTTTGAAAAGAAAGCATGACATCATTTGCTCATATCTTTTTTTAGAGCCACTCATCTAGGACAAAGTTATGAAAATAAATAAATGAAAAAGTAACCCACAAAGATCGGCAAATTATTATTAATTTGATTAATACCTATAAGCTTGTAAACCGAGTTTTATTACTATTATTATACACTTTTTCTGAGAAAAAATGAAATTCTTTTTCTCACAGGATTATATTTACATGGGTGTAATAAGAAATCATTGCTCTTTATGAGACGAGGAATGAATACTCCTAATCAGCCTCTCTTAGGGACGGTGGTGCTTCATTGACGTGCATCTTATATAGAAATCAGAAACGACGGCTAAAATTATTTTTGTATCAAACCAGAATAATCTGGAAATATTGAATTATTAGGAGATTATGGGTAACATATAACTTAAAATCAAAATAAAATATTATTTTGATTTGATAAAAGTTACACGTTTCTTATGAAGAATACTCGAATATTGGTCGCAAGACTTCAAAATTACTCTAAATATATGCTAATTGCTAATTGCTAATTTTTTAGTTTTTCGACGTTTTAAGATGTTTTGAATCGTTTGACACCTAAATTAGAAAACTCATGTTTATCGATGAAAATCAGTAAGGAGTCCCATTTATTAGTTTTGCGCAATGATCAGCCCATCCGTTTTTTTATTGTTATTTAATATTTAGCATATTAGTGCAATATATGCTAATTGCTTATTGCTAATTTTATAGTTCCTCGACATTTCAAGTCATCTTGAATCGTTCGACACCTAAATTAGAAAAATCGGTTGAACAAATTTCAAAAACTTTAAAACCCATCTTAATCGATGAAGATCAATAAGGAGTCGCATTAATTAATTTGCGCGATGATCAGCCCAGCCGTTTTTTTATTGTTATTTAATATTTAGCCTATTAGTACAATATATGCTAATTGCTAGTTTTATAGTTTGTCAACATTTCAAATCATTTTGAATCGTTTGACACCTAAATTAGAAAAATCGGTAGAACAAATTTAAAGCACATCTTTATCGATGAAGATCAATAAGGAGTCGCATTAATTATTTTTGCGCTACGATCAGCCCAGCCGTTTCTTTATAGTTATTTTTTATTTGGCCTATTAGTGCAGAATATTAAATATATAGATTAAATATCAGAATTCTTTGTCAATGTTTTCGCCAAAAATCATAAACCAATTATGAAAATTCCAAAAATATCCGGAAAATGTTGGGATTCGTGCTAAATAGTTTTTGGTAAAGATCTGCTGAGACGAATTGTCGAAAAATATTTTTTGTCGATTATATGGTTTTTCTTAACTTCCTAAAATATCATAGCCCTCCCGAAAGGTTTTGCAATTATAACAATTCATCAAAGTTTTAGGAATCGCATAAAAGTTTCAAAATATGGTAACAATTTTAAAAGTAGCTAAAATAAATTCTTATTGATTAGGTGGATTAGGCATAGATATCGGAAAGTGTCTGCTACTTTAAGGTAGCTTTAAGGCAAAATTTTACTTACACCTAGTTAATTTCTTAATTTTGGTCCAAAAAGTTTTTTTTCTGAATCAGTTCTTTTGTTCAAAAAATGTTACAAGTGTATTATAATCACCAATAAAAAATAAAATAGGTAAAAATAAGCATAAGATTGAATGTATAAAAAAGATCTTACAAAGTAAAAATTTGGGACTAAAGGTGCTACATTTTTATTTGTATTATCCTTAAACTACTTATTGTAAATTTACGAAATAATTTAGGCTTTATGATTATAATCGATTGTAAATTTTCAACGGTTTATTATCTTTTTTTTTAAAACATTAGCATATAAAGATTAATATACAATTATAATATTAATGAGTTCCCATATTAATACTACTCATTTTGATTCTCTGACTACTATAATTGGAAATTGATTGATTGATCTGAATGAAATTTTGCTGAAACTAATGAAACATATAGCCAAGGTTTATATAAAAGAGCATACAATGTAATAAAATAAAAATTCTTGAATGGAAACAAATTGATTTAAAAAATTCAAAACAACAATTTTGCCTAATCGAATGATACCTTTAGCAAATTTTAAAAACACCAATAAATGATGCATTGTTCAGATGTAATAAATCTTGAAATAATGCAATATTATATTATATTATCATATACACATTATAAAAATAACTTAACATTTCCATTTTTATTAAAAAACACGTGTTTTTTAATAAACATGGAAATGTTAAGTTATTTTTATTGGATCCAGTACTGGATCCAATCAGGCGTATGAATACCGTATCTAATATAAGTAATTGATTTATAAATAAGACACTGAATTTAATTTAATATCAATTATCGATAGTTCAGATTTTTTAAATAAATCTAATATTAGGATAGTATTATATCATGGATATTAATAATCTTTAAAAAACTTCAAATTTTATTTTTATTAAATTAAAATTTGGACCCAATCAGGAACTAATAAGCATGGACCCAATAACCATATTCCAAGTACTACCAAAGGTATACATGCACTAATAATCGTCGAATAAAAAAGTTGAGGATTTGATAAGATCATGTTTGCGAATGCGTAGAAGATTTCAGAAGAAATATGTCATCTGAACAGTATATAAGTTGATCATCTGTCGCGGCCGAAGACAGTAGTGCTGTGTCAAACCAACCCCATCCATTTGAAACACTCTGTCTTCTTGTATATAAATAATATTAACAACTTTTATTTGATAATTTGACGATATCTAAAGTTACAACAATTATTACTAACATATTTAAAAAAATCTTTTGCAAGTGGTTTTTGAAAATTATTTTTTCTTGGTGCAACTTGTTTTTCGGTTCAATTGTGGTGATCAACAGAAAGGTAAGTGGGGAAGAAATTAGCCAAAAAATGTTGAGATAATATGGATAGATGATACAACAATTTCCTTGGATTTCACTGTCTTTGCGTTGTGTATACGTATACATATTTTATTTTTTGCAAATATTTTTTTACCCATACTTTATTATATTATTAGCAATTTTGCCTATTAATTTTAAACTTTAAATAAAATTGGATAAAAGGTCTAGCTAAAACTTTAAATAGAATTGGATAAAATGAAATGCATATATAAAATTTTGCATAAGCTATTTTCATAAACTATTTTTTTAATGAAATAATATCATATATAACAATATTGAAATTATAATTATAGTCTTAGTAGATAAATATTAAAGTGTTCTTTCTAATTATCTACTTTATTACGAATTAGTATTATGAATAAATTCTTATTAACAAAAGAAGAAGTACCTTTCCATCGAAACTTGCAAAAATTATATCATTTTCATTTGCATTCAACTTTATTATCAAATTTTAAAATAAAATTATTATTTTATATACAACAAAGTACAAATTTATTCTTCATTATTCTGAGTCAAATGAAGGTTTAAATATGGCTAATAAATTTCATTTTTTGTAAAAATAATTTTAAACTTTTAAACAGTATATTTTTGAAACTGTTTCATGAACAGAGATATTAGTATAGCTAAAACTGCTATTTAAATAATTTTTCAAACTTTATCAAACTTTTCACAGAAACTAAAACTTTCTGTGTAACGTTTGGTTTAAAAATGACTTCAAATTTGCCTCTCATAAGGAAAAAAGCTACGTAAACAAAGGTGGTAAAGAGCCTTTACCTTGCAACCAAATCTTATATAGACTACCTGATATCAATCAGTAGTAATATCTATTTTTACTTATATTTATTAAAATCAGAATTAAAATAGATCAAATATTCGTAGACCAACTTTTGAGTTACCTTGTAGAAGCCATCAGTTGAATAAATTAATAAAACAAAATCTGAATTCATGTCAATGTCTTCATATAATAACAGAAAGAAAATAATTCATTATTTTAAATATATTTTTTAAATTTGATTTTTAACATAAATTTTATGCATCTCAGTCTGGTGTGAGAGATAGTACAAAATATTTATACAACAGTAAAAAATCCATATAATTATTATTATTAATTCATAGATGGGCTACCCAAATGGTTGTCCTATTTCTAAGTGATGAATTTTTTATTATAATTTCTCTGATACCTATTTCTCTTATACAATTTTCTATTGATGCAGCAGTACTGAGTAAAGACTAATTTAATTTTACTTGGAAACATATTGCTATCGTTATTTCCAAGTAATAACCGCGATTACTACTGCTTGATATCAAGCTATCCGAAAAGGGTATCTAACTTGGAGCAACTGATGTGGAGACCATAGCTCTAATTACCAATCCACGGGGGTGACCTTAATTTAAAAAAAAAAAAAAATTTTCTCTTTGTTGACTCCTAATAACCGAATAAAAACAACTGCATAATTTCAGAAAATATTAGATGGTCGTAACTAAAGGCAGCATTCGAGAAAGTAATTAATTCTTATTTTTTTTATTAATATATTATTGATGATTTTTGTTAGGGAAGGCAACTTATACAATTATTTATCAAAATAGTCATTAAATTTTTTTTTAAATTCTTCGACTGCTGTTTCTATTACAATTATCATCGACATTCAGACAGTTATTTAAACTTCGGTGTCCACTTGCAGTTCCTCACAATAGCCTTCGAAAAAGTAAATAATTTTATTTTATTTACTTTAATTTTTTTTTTTTATTAATATATTATTGATGATTGTAGTTAGGAAATGCAACTCACGTGTCTATTTATTAAGTTGCTAAAAATTATTTTTAAAAATATTTTTATTTCTATTTCTATTACAATTATCGTCGACTTTCAGACAGTCATTTAAACTTCGGTGTCCACGTGCAAATCCGCACAATAGCGGTTAATTCAGTATTTTGATAATTATCAAGTAGGAGGTATCCCTCAGTGAGATGTCAAAATATCTTCTACTTAATAAAGCGCATTCATATAGCATTTCAAGTCCAAATAAACATATTAAACTTGTTTACGAACTCAGGAAGAGATGATTTTATTGCGATTTTAAATGTATTTACTAACGCGTAAAGAAAATACATTAAAATTGTCATTAAAACCTTTATTCAAGTTCGATGCTCATTCATGTGCAAATATTATTAAATACGAAGCAATAAAAAATAATCGATAATACTCTTTTTACTACATCATAACGTTAAGATTATGTAAGAGTAAATATAACATTTTAATCGGCTGTGACATTTGATTGAGGAAAAGTATAGATTTGAAAGAAGCAATTATTTATAACGTTAAGGACTTATTTCATCAACATTGCAAGATATCTATTGAGTGCAAGATTACGTGGAAAACAGAAGCACGATTTATTTTATCTGAAATAGAGCCTTATAATTTTGTGTAAAAGTTCGTCTTTCGAGTCACCTATTAAAGACTATTAGTCATTTATATCGACGCAGCTCATAAAAACTCTAATATTCTTGTGGAGTATAATAAAAATATATAAGAAAAAGTTAAATTTTACCCAAAAAATGAGTTCCATAAAAAACCGTGTAACTCGAAAAATTCTCTCTTATATAGAAAAACCGTGCTAACGAAGATCACTTCACAAAAGCCCTTTATATCAGTTTCTAATATGATGAATTACAAATACATTGAACGATAAATAAATATATCAAACACATTTAATACATTTTAAAATATTTATTATTTATTTCAATTTTAAAAATGAAAATTAGAAATTCACCTAATAATAAGTTGATTGCGATTGGTGGAGTGACTAAGGCGGATGCTGAGTACGCCATTATGGGGTGCAAGAAATGGAAAAGGGTAGGCCAGAACTATGGACGGAGATAGTAAGGCAAAAAATCTTCCTCCCAACCAATTTTATAACATTAATGATAAAAGAAAGGATATATGGAATGTTATATAATTATATACAATCAAATAAAAGAAATTGTAAAGATAACTCATAAAATGTATATGATCAATGTATGTGTATAAAAAGTCAACAAATAAACAATAAGTTGATTGCGATAAATAAAACTTAACATTCTATTTTTGTTTTTGATCATCAAACAAGCTAGCTTATACACACATAAAATTTAGTTTGGGTCATAAAACGGGGAGTTCTCATGTTATACACATATTTCCATTATAGACATAGACTACTAAGAATTCGTATTAACATACATTTTGTATTGTTGTATTTTGACAGTAAAATAAAAATGTTATTGTATATATTAGCCAATTATAGTTTATTATTTATTATTGAGTAGTTTAGTGTAGTTTAGTGTTTATTATTGAGAGTATTATTTAGTGTGAATGAAAAATTAATAAATTTTATTAAAAAATATTATTTTAAAAAATCGTGTTAGATTGAAAACGTGTAAAACGAGTACCTTATAAAACGGAGGATAGGTGTATTCTGTATTTTAAAAAATAGATACTATAATCAACTAAACAAGAAAAATCAAGGTTTGCCACTTGCTTACTACAAATATATATCAATTAAAAATTTCAGGTAAATAAGTCGTGATAATAGAATTTTAACTATTTTACTTTTAATAAAAAAATGACACAATTTTGAACAAAGTAGGATCCACATTTAATAAAATTCTGTGTAAAAATTCGGGTTCTGTTTCATCTATGTATTAGAGATGTTGCCGTTGCCATTTATATCCCTGAAGGCAATAAAGACAGAATTACTTGTAAAATATTATAAAAGTATTAATAAAAATATATCAGAGAAAGTTAAATTTTTCTAATACTATATTCTATGTTTTAAAAAAATAAAAATAAAATCATATAAAAAGTAAATGATATATTAAATATATATTGATATACACATATCAGTTAACTATATAGTCTTTATTTTCATATCGAAATCGAAACAAATTTGACTAAATTTTTAATAAATTAATTTTCTTCCGATCTTTCATATCATAAATTTGACGCCTCTATCACAATTTATTAATATTCTCTCAATATTTTGATGCAAATTATTTTTGATAAATCATTCAACCTTTCACTTTGATTACGCAAAATTATTTCCGCGTTCTATTCGGATTAGTTAATTTTATGTGGAATTAGTTTTTATTGAGCATTACGTTACATCCTTAATAAAATAAATTGCAAAACATTAAATCGATCGACGTCATAAGCATAAAATCATATTTGTTTATTTATTATTATAAAATATTATAAAATATAGAGTAATAATGAATAAATATGTACAAAATTGAAGATAAATCAACACAAAAGGAATAATTTTAATACTTTTAGTAAGGTCTCTGTGTTTGAAAGTTTCATTTAATTTTATTCAAGATAATATTTTATTTTATCTTTGTAATAATAATGCTCGATTTTTTGTTTTTACTATAGTATGTATATGTTTTCAAGAGACTTTTCTATATTCTTACCTAATGATAGAAAAACTATCCATCGTTTCCTTATATGATGGATCTCTACTATAATAGCAAAGCTTATTAAATCAAGTCTAAGATAATAGAATCCGTAATGTATTTGGTTCCTCAAGTTACAATGTAAACACCATATACAACATACATATGGAATAAAATATAGAAAAATAAAATATATAAAAAACACGCACATGAGATAAAACATAAAACCTCCCGAAAACATCATTCTTCAATTCATTTAATATTATATATTGAGTAACATATTAAAAAAGAATTTTTTTATATAGTCCATAAAATATTCTCAAACTAGAAAGTCAAGTATTATATGGTTTACGGTTAGAAATAACAATATAATTTATTGTTATTTATTATCACGAGTTTAAACGGTATTGAATATAAATTAATTTGTATTAATGATAAAATTTTACAAAAAATAGTACAGATGATAAATAAAATATATTACTAAACCAGAAAGTCTACAAAATTGTCTTATTTCTGATAAAATGAGGAGCTTTTCATAAACAGACAGAAAATTAATTACTATTTCAGAACACCGGAATAGTTTGAGTAAAAATAATATTTTTTAGATCAAATACGTTATTAGGCACAGCAAATGTTAATAATAATAAAACTTGGATATTTTCTACATTTTTTATGAAAATTAATTTTAATTAATATATGAAACTATCATCTGCCAGTCGAAAAAGTTGAATATTGAATCAATCATATAAAAGTTATAAATACTGAATCAATCATATATATGTACACTCGTATGCATGTACATATATATATTAGGGTGGGTCAAATTGTATAAACCTGAAAAACTGAGGCCCAGTTATCGATTTTATTTCTACGGGTCAATTCAAGAAACTTTTCCGAAAAAAACATTGCTCGAAGTGAGTTCTAATCCAATCAAATTCCAAACCAATCCTGCAAATTTTTCAATAAAAAATCTTTTCAACAGCAATTTGACCTACGTATTCTGTAAGCTGTTTTTACTATATATATCTTGATCTAAAAATTTTCTCTAGAAGACAACCCAGTGGTCAAATACTTCCCTTTTTATGTGTAGACTGTAATATTAGATATGTATTTATAATAGTGTTGGTGTTGCAGCAATACCCACGAAAGGCCATTTATACTTGAAATTATATTCAAGATCTATAATCTCAAGTGAAAATTTGATATCATACTGCTTGATATCATATCATATCATTTGGTTGTTAACTAACTAATCACAGTGTATAAGGTATTGTCTACATATGTTTTAAATATCCTTTCGGAATTTGATACAAATTAATTGATAGTCAAAAGGAACGCCTTGAAATACAAGGATTTGCAGTGCCATTTGAAAATTGATGTCTCTGATCTTTGTATTATTTTTCATCTCTTAGGAATAAATAAATTAATTAATTAATCAATTAAGTAGTTGATATTAAATCTAAGTATATTGAATGAATAATTTTATAAATTACATACATACTAACATCGCACAAAAAGATATCTTATATATTTTCTCTATTTGATATCGAATGTACATGTGAAGTGACTTTTTGCGATCATTTCTCTGGGTTATGAAAGTGAATTTATCGAGCCCGATTAATTATATTTCGCAAACAAACGACGAATTGGCTGTATATTGCTATTTTTTCATTATCTTTCAATGTCCTAACAATAAAGAAGACAAGTTTGTTCGCATTGAGCCGATACTCGCGGGTGGTAGATTAAAATGCTCCAAGGGCAAACTATGGACAAGATGTGGTTATAAGTGATAAAATAAAAATACAGATGACATATACTCGATGATCCAATTGTTGATTGCTCTCTTAACTGATCACAAGACTAACTTTCTATTATTTCGATTGGTAAGTTAGGAGAATTCAGATGAAAACGGAGAACAGGCAAATTGATCAAGGTTCTATGATTGAATATCACATTTTGAATGTTAATTATAAAAATATTCGGCTATTGTTTCTCATCTAGAAGTGAATATTCCATGGCGTAACGGTTAAGCTCACTGTCTTGTGTAAACAGGGCCGTGAATCCGAATCCTCTGGATAACCTTATATGAGTAGAGATATCAATTTTTACTTGAATATATAGATCAACAATATGTGCCCAATTAAAAATAGTCCATTTCGGGAACTGCGGTGTGAAATGGCAATAGGAAATGTCTCACACAATTCTTTCCAGAATCAGGCTGTAGTTTAACTCAGGTCACGCTCCTGCTCCATGGCAACACTATCATTATCTAGCATTTTGGATCTTATAATTTGATGCAATAGATAATAAATTTACTATAACAAATTCGAATATTCAAAATTTTGGTCCTCTTAAAAAAAACTTAAAAACTGTGATACAAAAAAGTGAAGTAAAATAAATTATCTGTCTTACTACCATGTTCCAATAAGATTTATTATTCTGCTTTTCAAAAATGATGCTGTGGAATGTTCTCGGATTGCACGAGTAAAAAGGCGAATTTCTAAAGAATTCACATAGATGTAATTATCGAGGAATTTGAAGCAGCATCCGTATTTTTTTTTCATCCCATAAACTTTATAACAATTCCCCGAAAGAAAGTTCGTCATGATCAAATTGTATAGTTAATATCAAGCGTTAAAGATTATGCTTCAAGATGGTAGAGTTTTGTTGTACGAAATAGATCTACCTGTAGACTGTAGAGAAGAAATATTTAGAAATTGAGTGGTTTTCTGAAAAAATGAAAAAGACATCAAACACTCAAAATTATAGTTATTAATGCAATGTAAAACATCAAAATGACATGCTGTCGAACCCTGTCAGTAAAAACATTTGTGCGCTTTGGATTGGATCATATAAATTAGCAGATAGTTATAGTTCGCATACCCATACTTCACCATGGTACTTAATAGAAGACCACAGATTCTTCAATGGATACATACTATTTCAACTTTATTCACATGTATTTAACTTTTTTTAAATAATTTACTTGAGAATGTTAGAAATTAGAAAAAATATTTGGTATTTACCTGGGTGAAACAGTTGACAAAAACTACCCTAAAATCTTGCTATATTGCAAATTTAGATGCAACTAGTGTGGCTAAACAAATAGCACATTAATATAATACATGATATATATATTTTTGTATTCGTGTTTGGTCATTAACCCTTAAACTACTGGACCGATTTTTGTATAAACCAAATTTGGAATCTAATCTTAATTCACAAATCAGACAAATTATTCAATTAAAGAATTATAATCTACTAATTAATACATTAAGATTTTAAATGCATGTAATGATTTACTTTTTATTGGACACCTAGATATAATTTTCATTATTATTACTAAAACAAGTAAAGTGTATTCCCAATAAAGATATACCCCTAACAATATTAGAATTTGATGTATTCAAATATATGCCCATGTAT